GAGCCCCCCACCCGCCACCCCCAAAAAGAGAGAAGAAGGAAGGAGGGTTTACGCACCATCGGACTTACCCCGAAATTGGAGGCGGCGAAGCGGTCGGAGGCGGACACGTTGGTGGAGGCCGTGGTGTGGGCATAGTAGGCGTTGATGTTGGCAAGCAGGGTGCTCATCACTGCTGGCACCCCCGGGCACATGTATTTGGAGGAGAGACAGGCAAAATGCCTAGTGGGGAACACGGGAAAACGATGAGGATCCGAGTGCTGACAACAGCCAGGGAAGAGGGTACGGGCAGGACGGCGGCACCGAGAGACTCACGTCATGGCCTGGTAGATGGACTCGACCCCGTAGCGCATGGCGAACTCATCCACGATCTCCTGCGCTGTCTCGTCGAAATAGACCTTCCAGGCGTCGTCACCCTTGGCGTCAGGGATCTTCACCACGCCGTTGTTTTGCAGGTCCGTCACGAAGTGGAAAAGGTTCTGGGAAAGGGCAAGAGGGTCCCGTGAGGTCCCCGGTGGACACAGGGGACCCGTGACGGTGGCGGTGCCCGCGTGGCGCTCACCTCATGCAGGCATGTGTACTGCACGTGGTATGGGGCCACCTTCTCCTCACCCTTGATCTCCACGCTGATGTGCAGCCGGATGGCTCCCGACACGGCCGACTTGTCCGTCCGTTTGTCTGTCACAGGCACGGGGAGGCGGGCATGAGGCGCCGGGTCCCCCCGCAAGCAAACCTTTGTTGCGGCGCCGCGGTGCTGCCACGGAGCTCACCGAGGTTGTACCAAACATCCATCTCGCCGCTCAGGGTCCGGACCTCGATGATGGTCTGGCCCAAAAAGTCGTCGGACTCGCGCTTGAAGCGCTGCTTGACGCGCGACTTGATGTCGTCGTCCTCATCCCACACGCGCACCTTGATGCGGTCAGAGGAGTTGTGGCACTCGCTGCGACAGGAAGGGGACACCATGAGCAGGGACCTTGGCACCATCCCACGTTCCCCCCAGGGACCCGCCACCTCCATCCTCTGGGCTCAAGAGGGGAAAGACGGTGCCCAAAACCGCAGCAGGGGGGCAACAGCCCAACTTACAAATGGAAATTCTCCTCCCAGACCGGGTTGAGATTGCCGTAGATAGTTTTAGTCCTTTTTTTCGTCTTTCCAACCTGGACAGTAACATACGGGTCACTGGAACCCGTCTTATCCTTGGCTTGCAGACCCTGGGCGCAAACGACTGCAGCAGGGCACGCAGAGCCGGCCACGCGCGGGGCACCAAACGGCACACGGCGGAGAGAAGAGACGGAGACAGCAGTGAGTGGCGCGGGCGTGGGTGGCGGGCAGCGCGGGCCAGGGCACCCCCGAGCCCCCCACGGGCCAGGGACCTCATGCAGATTGCCCCAAATTTGCCAACAGCGAGAGGGTATAGTTTGCTGGGAGGAGAATATGTGCCCGCAGGGCCATGCCGGCACGATGCCACGCGCTCCATCCAGAGCCGCAGGGACATAGGGGTCCCCCACAGTGGTGGCATGGGGACAGACCTGAGTGGTGACGCAGGTGCCTACCTGTGATGCTGATCTTGGCCGACCACTTGGAGGTGCCATCCAGGACACTCTGCTTCACAGCCTTCATCTGCTGCGTGTGCGTGGTCTTGGTGACGCCGAACACCTCCTGGATGAGCTCGAAGATCTCGGGCTTGTTGCGCTCCCGGATCTTCATGCGGTCCTTGAGCACCATGATGATGTTTTGGGTCCGGTCCTCCGCTCCATGCTTGGAACTCTTCTCCGCCGCCCCTGGGAGAGGACAACAGTGACGGGCGGGATGAGGGACACAGGCAGCACCCAGGAATGGGCTGAGTATCCCTGAGCTCAGCACCAGACATGGACAAATTCCAAACTGGAAGGGTCTGTACCCTGGTCAGGAATTACCCTGTGCATCCCCACTATGCACAGAGTGGGAATTAGGATTGGAAATCTGGACCAGCTGCACGGCAGGTGGGGAGGGGACAGCAGGGGACACCCACAGGGCTCCTTACTCTGCAGGCAGTCGGCGTTGAGCAGGTCCTGGCACTTCTCGTGGCACTTGACGCCGCACTCGGCGCAGCGCATGCCCTGCCGCGCGATGCCCCACAGCAGCCCCTCGCACTCGTAGCAGTACGTGGGCGTTGTGGCTGTCCACACCTCGAAGTTGTGCGGCGTCGTGCATGAGATGGGGTACACTAAGGCTTGCAGGGTCTTCTTGTAAACGTGGTTTTTCTGTGCCGGGAAGGAAGGGAGGGAGGGAGGCAGGGGGAGCTCCCACATGCCAGCGCGGTATCCCTGCTGTCCTCGCTGCTGCTGCCCCCCGCGCTGGCACCTACCAGCTCCTCGTTGTTCAGGGTGCTCGAGGCCAGCGCGGACGTGATTCCCGCTTTCCTGGACTGCACCAGCGACTGGCGGAGAGAAAAGCGGATCTCGAGTCATGTGGGGTGGAAGCTGGAGGAGGGGGGTCTCCTCCTGTCCCCAGAAGCCTCTGGCCGTGTGGCTGGGACCCAGGAGACACCGCAGAGGACACTTACCATGGCCTGTGACAGCAGCGGCAGCAGGAGGAACGAGAGGCATTAGTGTTTCATGGCATCGCAATTCCCATCCCCTTCCCCTTTTGCCCCTTGTCGCCAGCAGGAACAAGGTGGCAGCGACCCCCCACCTTGGCCACCATGGGGCCAGTCCCCCTTAGCGGCGGGTATTTTAGCCAGGCTCCCCAAATCTGCAGCCCCGCAGCGAGTCCCTCCAGCCTGGAAAGGCAGCGGCCTGGAGGGACCCAGCGTGGCCACGCGCAGCCCATCGTCCCCGTCCCCCGTCCCCGTCCCCCCG